CTGAATCTGATGATGGATAGAGGCTTCCTCAATATCCTCATCTTTGTCATCTTTTGTTGGTATCAACTCAGGCAACACCTCAAGGATTGAAGAGTTCATGGCTCTTTGCTTCTTTGCCTTGGTCTTTTTGTCCTTGACCTTGGCTTCTTGACATTTAACTGGACAACGGTCTAATGCCACCTTTCCCGCATTCCAATCAATACTGGGGTTGTGGTATCATAGCCAATCTATTCCAATGATGACATCATTGGTTCCTAGATCTGTGATCAGAAAAGCTACTTCTTCCTCATGATCTGTCATATTGTGTACCTCCGGATCTGGAATTCTGGATCTACTCCATTAAAGTCCAGTTCTCTGTCCTGCTATTCCGCCTGGTGCTCTGCCTTCATCTCTGCACTCACCCCCTTTTAGATTAGCTATTGCTCCGGTTACCGGTTATGTCCTATTCTGCTATGCTTACTGATCTGTCCATTCTTACTTCATTTCCAACTTCACAGCTTTGATCTGTTACACTTACTAATAGACTTTCCACATGCTTTGTACATAGCCCTTACCTTTGCTGACTGATTTACTTACATGATACCTACAGTATATAAACCCCTGTAATACTCCGGAACTCCTCAGTTCGAATATCATCTTAGTTCTGCTCATTCCTGCAATCTCCGGACTTGAGTCTCACCTCTTGTCCACCTCCGAGTCTTAGGGGTCAAACCTTAGGACTAATCCTCTGGCTCTACCTTAGGGTAGTCTAACCTCTGTTCTGTTTCTACTCCAGATTTCCGTAGTAGCCTTACTCTGTCCCCACATAGTCTTCCGGAGTTCTGCCGAACTCCACCGATGTTTGTCCTCCGGAACTCCCCAGACTTCCGTCGGACTTCCCCTCTGCCCACCAGAAATTAAAGGGCACGTACTCGGGTAAGGGGTGCAGCACACAAGCTGAAGCCGAAGCCCTTTGAGTAACCTCTCCCTTGAGCACGACCTTAACATGATCCCCTATTGTGAGTTTCAAATTGGTGTAGCTTTTGATTGGTCCGGTGGAGTTTTTAGTTCCATCAATATTATGGACTGGCAGTTCTTGCAACAACTGCTTGGTTTGGACTTGGTTCTTCTCTACAAACTTCTCACTGATGAAAAGGTTTGTTGCTCCGCAGTCTACTAGAGCATTGATGGCTGCTTTCCTTTATTTCCCTTCCAATGTAACTGGCAAGTAAAAATGCTCTCATTTATTCCCAGAACAAACTTCTGATACTTCTGTAAACATAATTGCCAAGTCACCGAGAATGGAGAAACAATTCTTCTGATCTAAGTTTGCAGTCAACTTTGATCTATCTAAAAACCCTTCTTCTCTGGGTTGTACATAGTGGAGAGGCAGATCCTCTCATTTACGATGTGATTGATATCCTCCAGTGTGAGTGGCTTCACAACTGGTTCTTCTTCATTCTTGATGGTGTGGACAGCTGGTCCTTTGCCCTTGTCAAGAGGTTTTCCTGTGCAATTACGAGCCATGTGCCCGTCTCCTCCACAATGATAACACTTGAAATCATCTCCCAGTTGTCCTTGAGGTCGGGGTCTACCTCCTGTTCTGGATGCATCAATGTCCATCACGTTTCCTCCTTGCGACACAGTCTTGGGTGCTACTGGTGCAGATGTTGCAGCAGCACCTTGCCATGGGCAGCAGGGTGTCCAGCCACTCTTCTTCTTGTCATCAAGTTCTTCCAGGTTTTGTCCAATGATGAGCGACTCCCTGATCAACCCTTCCAGTATATCCTTCCTGTTGGGGTGAACATGCGCCAACTGATTCTTAACCCATTGGTCTGCTCCGAAGTGGAACTTGCATATGAGTTCATAATTGGAGAAGTGACAGTAGGCAATCTTTTGCTGGAAGAGAGAAACATACTCGGCCACTGTGCAGTTTCCTTGACGAAGAGCTTCCAACTCTCTTGTTGCCTTTTCCTCTTTGTTGATGAGTCCCCACATGGCCCTCATGTCTGTTTTGATCTGGTTGTAAGACCCGAGTGTACCAGAAAGAGCCTGCGGTGTGATGCTCTCTGCCCACTTCGCTGCTGAACCCTGACAGAAAGAAATGAGGCATGAACTCTTCTGTCATTCTGTTGCTCGGGGTAACCTGTGAAGTAGATTTCGAGTTGGGTGAGGAAGGTGTCAACATCAATGGAGTTTTTGTCTCCCATGAACTCTGTGGGTTTTGCCATTTTGAGATCAGAGCTCAAACTCCCAGAGATGCCTCCTGAGGTTAACATCGAACACAAGGTTTGCAAATCCATGATTGTCAGCTCTTGATCCCTGACTTGGCATGCAAGGTTCATATTCATGTCGTTCGCCATCACTAGACCGTCTTGCAACTCGGTCATCTCCTTCTCCAATGCCTCAAACCTCTTCTGGGTGTACTCCCTTTCTGCTACGATGATGGTGTTGATTGTGGCTGAAATGTCCCAGTGGGTGATGATACTCGTTCCAGGCTCGGAGATGGCGGGCGGTACAGAAGGGCTGGCAGTTGGGGTGGTGGATAAGTCGACAAATGACCATGTTCTCCTTTCTTGCCATCCTTGCAACGGGGGTGGGGATTGGGCTGTGGCTCTGTGTGGAGTGGGTTCTGTAATCTGAACGTCCTGGGTGTCGGACATGGAGGAAAGGACAATTGTTTTCACAACAAGTTGAGTTGTTGTGAAACCTTAGGGTTTTAGCCCTAACAAGACAGGATCTGAATATCCACACAATGATGACAAAGGTGCAAATACAGCGTGTGTAGCAGTTCGTCAACCTAAGTAGAACTCAAGAGGAGTTCATGAAAGATGTGGTGAACTTTGGGTCTGTGTCATATACCGGATCCAAGCACCTCCAATACCACCTGTGAACATCCCCACCCCTGGTCCAACCCCCTGTTTCCCTGTCCACTCCATTCCTCCTTCTCCGACAATGCACAAAGTGCATCTCAGCAGGACTAGCCCTGCTACCTCCGCCCAACCCCATTCTGCTCTTCCAACACTACCCCTATGTCCTCCAACATTATACCCCTTCCATCCGACCCTATCTGGGGTTCCGCTCCTCCGCCCTATTGGTCCGCCCGATCCTACTCCTACTCCCTCCGCTTTTCCAACCCGCTCGGTTCCGCTCATCTTGTCCCACCCAACTATTAGTCCGTCTGACCACCTCACCGGTCCACTCCTAGACTAGGAACCACTCAACTGGTCCTATCCCCGTTTAGTATCATAGTTCCGCTTTTCAGATCACCGGTAATCCCTATACCCTAGCGATTCTGATCTGTCACGTACATACTGTTCCCCGAGCCTTATTCTCGTATGTCTCAGTCATCCTATTGTAATCCTGTACACTCAGCACATAGCCTTCTGCTATGCTATGCCCATCACTTAGAGTATATAAACATATGTACATTTGTCTGTAGACACTCAGTTGGAATATTACCTTTTCTAAGCCCTGCTCTTCTGCTCTTTGACTTAGGCTTAAACCCAAGTCAACTCCTGTTTGCCGGCCTAGGGGATTGACTCCCTAGGTCGGCCACCCTCTGATCCTCCGATCCTCCGTTTCCCCATTCCCCCATTCCCCTGTTCCCCTGTTCCTCCGCTTGTCCGACTTCCCACACATTGGACTTGATCCCAGTACCTATGTATATCCGTCCCCTTTGGTTCCACTCTGCTTCAGACTTTGTCCGAGTAGTCCTCTCCGTTCTGCTTCTACTGTTGGTTCCGACCGCAGTAGCCCTTAACCTCTCTCCTGCTGGGTGTAACAACCCCCACCTGACTTTCCCGTGCTCGCCTAGTAGTCTGTTGGTCCTCCTTCAGAGAACCCCCATTCCAACATCCTGTCGGAACTCATAGAACTTGTGTCAGACTACATTCCGAAATTAGGGGCACGTACTCAGGTAAGGGGCACAGCGTATGAGCTGAAGCCAAGCCCCTCAGACTCCACTTTACCCCTGAGCACGGTCTTAACAGTCTGCTGAGTACCTATCATAATGTAACATCAGAGATACAACAGGTGATATGTGAAGAGGTGAAGATGTGACAGGAAGTGAAGTCATGTGACTGGTTCAGTAACTAGAAGTAGCTGGGGGAAAGCTAAGGAATGAAAAATGATTTGTGTTTGGAATTTGTGACAAAGACCTGATCGCAGTGTGTGTTTGAGCATTGTGAGACATTAACAGCAATGGCAAGTGGTTCAATACGAGTCTTGAGCTGAAGAAGCTTTTTCCAGAATGTGTCGTTTGAAATGCGGTCAAGAATTTTGTGAGCCTTATCCTTTGCTCGGCAACCCTTCCCTGCAGCTACCAGTAACTTGTCCTCATTCTTCATTGCTGTCACTTTCAGTGCCTTTGAAATTTCAAGAAGTCAAGATAGGGAACAGAAATGTGAGGTCCAGTGGGTGACAACAGGCAGGATAAGTGTGAGGATTTTGTGAAACATTGACATTTGCTCCCCATTCAGCAGTCCTAGTGCAAACAAGTGATTATTGAACCACTTGATGATTTTGTTCACATGATCAATGACCACAGTGATATCGCCATTAGCTTTGTAATAATCGCCTAAAATGAGGTTTATCTTGTTTGTATTCTACCAAAGTGCGAGGCACAAGCACGAGGTAAGAATGAGATCTTTGTCTATTTCAAGTAAAGTGTGACACACTCCTTCCTTCTTCCTCTCCACTGTGCCTTGCATTCATCGCTTCTAGTTCTTGTCACTCGAAAGCTCTCTGAGCTGCCAGTTTCAAAGCACCCACCCACCACTCCCCAGGGGCAGCTCATCACCATATAAAATACCTTGGACATCAGAAGGCAACACTGTTCTTACATATGGCAGTCAAACCAGAAAGCATTAGTCTACATGGAGCTTAATGGCTCATCTATCAAACATTAGCTGTGACTTCAGTTGCAAGCCCTCCCTGAGCTTAGCATTACATACGGCAAACTCAGTAGGGTTTAAAACAGTGGTATTTCCAAGCTTTCCTACATTCCCTTTCCTCCTACCATGTCCTACTTCTACCAATCCTCCAATGACAACTGCACCATGTGGAGCAGCAGCATCTATGGCGGGACCACAGTGGGAGGAAATAGTGTCATGCTTAATGACAACTTGGAGGACATCAACTCTCTGAGGGATGCCAACAGTGTTGAAGACACTGTTCCTGCAGGTGCCTTAGTCATGGCCTTAACCACCTCCCTAATAGTAGGGATTCCACCTTCATTTGCTCAGCCCGACACCTGGAGTTTTGATTGCTACATTACCCCCAATGATTGTCACCTCCTAGGGTCTGGTGACCACATCTTCATCTATCACCGGTTTTATGATGCTTCAATCACCCCCTCCCCACTCCCGGTCTTGGAAGCTACATTGACTGACATAGTAGGATGGGGCAAGGGCCATGTATAATTCAGTCTACAAGACCACAACACAGGTTGTCACCACTGGAAAATCCTCACATTGCCCCAGCAAGTCACATGACTTTCTAGAACACAGCAGTGGCAAGGAGCACTCCACCTTTACCCTGGTGCCTCCAATCCACCTCCTCACACTGCCCCCACCCTATACCCCCACTTCAGCACGACAACATTGAGACCCTGTCTTCTCATCTCCAGAGAGAAAGGGATGTGTGCCATGAGACAGTGATGATTTACCCATCTGGGATAGGCACTAAAGCATACTAGGGTAAACTTTACACCCAACTCCCTCTCCTTCCCCTTCATGCTAATCAAATGAAGCAGCCCTCAAACTAGGGATAATCCCCCTGTCTCTTGTCCATTAGTTGTGGTACACACATTGGGACCTTTAGGAAATGAATATTCACACTCTCATTAATTTGTCCCTCCTTACATCCTTGATCTGATGCATGCCATTTGTGTTTTTCTGAGCTGCTTGGGCCCACCCACCCCTCTCAGCTCACTCTTGCCCCCCGCAAAGGCATGTTTCGGTTGAAAGCCCATGGGCTTTGCCCAAACAAAGGTTTACGTATTCTAGTGTAGTTTCTCAATCATTTGTGTCATTCTCGTGTTTGTCTCACAGCCTAATGCCATACATTTGCCTTCCTTGACTTCACACTTTGAGTCAAGAACAAAGATCGAAAATCAGATGCAGTTCTTCCAAGAATAAAATGATACATACCTGATGACTCCAGCAGTCTGTAACAAGCATCCATGGGTATTTTTGTAGGAAGAGGAGGTGGCCTTGCTTCTTGTCTCCACCAACATCTCCGCAAACACCAATCATGGTCAGAAGCAGAACATCTTTGATATAATTGTATTCCTCCTCCATTAGTTTGAATACCAGTTGGCCTGTCTTTCTTTTCGCTGATGTATCATGGATATGTAGAACATATATCTGCAAGCCAACTGTAAGCACCAAGTAGTAATTAGCTATGATTGAATGTTACTTACCCGATGTTCAATAGTATGGGTAAATGCAATCTGATGTATTTTTGCTAGATCCCTCCAGCCATCACCCGAAAGGACTGAATAAGCACCTTTATGGAAGGTGTTTTTAATCTCTCCCTCAACCCTGGTGACTTCTGCATGAAGGATTTTTCCTGATAAAGCCTGCCTTGTTGGAATCATAGCTCCAGGGATATAATTGTGAAAGAGCTTTTGAACTTCAGGATCAGTGATGGAATTGAAGGACCAGCCTGCAGAGATACATGCATGGAGTAATTGTTGAGAAAATGCTTCCTGCTTGCTTGGACCAAATGGAATAACTTTCGCAGCAATTACGTTGAACCTCTGCTTCCAAGTTTTCGGCACAATAGCTTTCTCCTCCATCCCTGTAACATTGTTTATGGCAGATCCAAGTTGTGGTTTGGTGGAAGGTCCCTCATAATCATCATCATCATCAGCCTGCCGCTTTTTTCCACGTTTAAATATTTTAGCATTGGTCTTGACATTGCTAGGGACATATTGATAACCCAACAGATGGTTTGCCATTATTTCAACCTTTCTGACAATATGAGGGACATTATTGCATGCTGTTTGAGTCCATTATACAGTATACATTAATTATTTATGTAACACATCAATCGGCAAAAACTCACCTTCTCGTGTCAAAATTGTGAGAGTTCTGACAGCCTGCAGTATTCTGTGTGCAACAGCCTGCTGATCAGCATTTGTGAGATCTTTAGCCTTCACATTGACACAATATTTACAGTGGGCTTGCCAGTGCACTTTATCAACCTTTGCAGTCCCCTGATGAAAATGATCCCATAACCAGGACTTCTCCCTACCCATCGGAGTGGCTTGGAGAGGTAATACAGTCCCAGGAGACTGGCACAGAGAGAATCAGAGAGATCAATGATAACAGTTAAAAGTTTGGTGACGTGCAATTAACCCAATTAACTCCTAGTACATCAACCTTACTAACCCTCCCAAAATCGCAAATCCATTTAACTAACCTCTTAACTGGTTATAACTGGGTTAAGTTATAACTGTTTTAATGGGTTAGTAACAACACTCCCCATACCTGTACCCATACCCATGGTGCGGGTTTTGGTACCATGGGCAACTGTTACCAAATTCGGTAATAGCTGTTATCCCAGGAAGCTGGAAAGTCGTTGTTCACTCATTCAAATTTATTGTCCATCTCAAGTTCAAGGTTTGTATGTACCATGAGGTCTGTGCAAGTTGATGGAGAACAGTGCTGGTGACACTGTACTAATACAGGTGTGTTTTGATTCATATCTTTGTACTACTTTTTTTAAAATTTCTCACACTTGCCTGCACTTCTTTTCACTCTTCTTGATTTGTCTGCATTTGTCTGGACTTGCCTGCGCTCATTTGGACTGCCTGCACTTGTTTGGACTTTCCTGCACTCATCTACATTTGTCTGGGCTTGCCTGAACTCACTTGAACTTATCTGTATCTTCTTTTCACTCCCCTTGACTTGTCTGCATTTGTCTGGACTTGCCTGACTCATTTGTACTTGCCTGTACTCATTTGAACTCATCTGCATTTGTCTGGGCTCGCCTGCACTCATTTTCACTTGCCTGTACTCATTTGGACCCATCTGCATTTGTCTTGGCTTGCCTGTACTTGTTTGCATTCATCTGGGCTTGCCTGTACTTGTTTGCATTCATCTGGGCTTGCCTGTACTTGTTTGCACATGTCTGGGCTCACCTGCACTTGTTTTCACTTGCCTGGACTTGTCTGCATTCATCTGGGCTTGCCTGCACTCGCTTGAATGCGTCTGGGCTTGCCTGTGCTCATCTGCAGGTGTCTGCACTTGTCTAGGTATGATTACAATGATAACTGGTGCACACAGCTCATCTTTATCATAGATCTAGTCTGGTGCAATGTGAGGTAGTGGGATGCTATTGAGTTGTAGAATACATTGGTCAAATTTTTGCTTGTACTGTACTACATCTATGCAAGACCCGCAGGTATACCCTCAACAGGTAGTACCCCAGGTGTCCATATGCAATACCTGCTATGATACTCATACCCCCCATGCGGGTGTGGGTATATTCCTGGGTACAGGTTGTGGCCCACGTATGACCTGAGATACCCAGGGGTTTACCCATGCCATTGCCTAGCTCCAATAGTATAGTGACTTTTCAACCATACATCAGCAAACTAGGGGAACCTTGTACAGATTTGTACAGATTTGTACAGATTTGTACAAACAGTACAATCCCACAGCTAAGTCCTTTCTTTACAATCCTGTCACAAAGCCTTACAATCTGTACACAAAGGCACAATATTGACAGACTGGACAGACTAGACAAACTGGACAATGTAGACACACTGGACAATGTAGATAGGGATCTGCATGGGTATGGGTAACCCGCTGTGGGGAATGTCCCCACTGTAGGCCCGTATCCTGTATATTTCCCAAGCCTTACCAGTATCTTTCCGTGTGTTCTGCCACCGTTCTGCTACCCATCCACTTCTTATCCGACTCACCCACTACACGGAACTAAGCGGAACAATGTGGAACCAAGCAGAACAACCGCGCATCACATGCTGTAGGTACAACAAGTGCAGCAGAGAGAAGTCAATCTACTACACAGTTGGGTCTTTGCTGCCTGCTGCCTCGCTTGGGAACAAGTGTGTTCGACCCTTAAGGGGATTGCTACTGGGGAATACTAGTCTCTGTCTAAAGTGACCCTATAGGATGAAAGATCCACAAAAGCGGATGAAACAGATAGGATGCAAAATGTATGGATTCGTTGGATGGAGCGGATGGCACTTGTGGATTGGACAGGATGCAAATCAAAGTCAAAGGAAGTTCATTAAAGGTTGGATGGATAATGGGTATAAGTCAAAGCGACCTTCTGGTAAGGTGCAGGAAAAGTGGGAGGAAGTTACATGAAGTAAGTATTTTTCGAAACCCTCCATGCTTATAGGGTACAGTATTTTCAAGGAACATAGATATATAGGTAGCAAGTCTAGACCGTGCCATAAGCTATCCGAAAAATACTGGAGTGTGAGAGGATATGTCTGTGTTCAGTCAGTAACAAGAAAATGCGTGTGAGTATGTACCAATGAGGTAGAATGGACGTGGACAGGACGGATGCGGCGGATGCGCAAGCTATAGGGGGAGATCTGAAGGTATCCGCATGTCATCTGAAAAGCGGATGTGTATCGGATGAATGGATAGGTGTCGGATGGATGTCAGATGGACGCCTGATGCATCAGAAAAGTGGCAGATACGAGCCTAGCATAGGGATACTCCCTACAACGTATCATATCCCTTTAGCCTTCAGAACGTCCTCCTCTGTCCTGTCCCTGTCCTTCCATCCTCACTGGTGAGTACTCGCTATGTTCCTTGTGTTGCTGACATGTTGCTATCTCATTTCACATGTGTTACAATACTGATACGGATCTTTCTGCTACTCTGAACCGGTTCCTTATCTCACAGCCTCGCCTGGTTGTAGCATAGTGCTTTTCGGAACCCCTTCCTATATAGATAGCAATAGATGGGATCTTAGTTTTTTACCTTTTGATGGACTTGAATTACTTCCTCCCATCTTTTACCTTCCGACTTTTCTCCAACTTTTCCTTCACCTTACTAGAGGACCGCTTTGACTTATGCTCACTATCAATCTAACCTTGTGATATACTTCCTTCAACTTGATCCGCAAGTTCCGACGAATCTGTACGTTCCACATTTTATCTGTTTGAGTTCTGCTTTGTTCTGTTTCATTCCACTTGTTCCGCATTTTTGCAGATCCTCATCCTATGTGCAGTAGGGTTGATTAGGGTTGTTTAGACAGAGACTAGTACTCCCCAGTAGCAATCCCCTTTAGGGTCGAACACACTTGTTCTCAAGTGAGGCAGCAGGTAGCAAAGACCCAACTTTGTAGTAGGTTGATTTCTTGCTGCTGCACTTGTTGTACCCACACTGCGCGGGTCACGGGTACGGGTACTACTCGGGTATGGGTATGGGTTAAGATTTTGAGACCTGTTGTGGGTACAACAAGTGCAGCAGCAAGAAATTGATCTACTACTCAGTTGGGTCTTTGCTGCCTGCTGCCTCGCTTGAGAACAAGCATGTTTGACCCTGAAGGGGATTGCTACTGGGGAGTACTAGTCTCTGTGTAAATGACCCTAATCAACCCTACTGCAGGTAGGATGAGGATCCGCAAAAATGCGGAACAAGCGGAACTCAAGCGGAATAAGTGGAACTCAAGTGGAACAAGTGGAACTCAAGTGGAACTCAAATGGAACTCAAGCGGAATGGAATGGAATGAAGCGGAACTCAACTGGATACAATGCAGAATGTACGGAGTCGTCGGAACTTGCAGATCAAGTTGAAGGAAGTATATCACAAGGTTAGATTGATAGTGGGCATAAGTCAAAGTGGTCCTCTAGTAAGGTGAAGGGAAATTGGGAAGGTAAAAGATAGGATTCAATCCCAAAAAAACACCCAAGCCCTGAGTACCACCACTTATAGGGAACATTATTTTCAAGGAACACTGAGGTACAGGTAGTAAACTTCTCAGGAAGTGGAAGTGAAGGCAGACAGTGCACATGGGTGCAATACTCTGCAATAGGGGTCCATGCCATAAGGGCATGTGTCAGTATGATCCGGATAACATTAGAAGCAATGGGAAGAGAGATACAGCATACCAATGGACCTGGAAGGATGGGGACAGGACATGTGAAGGTCGTCCAATGATGCATGGGAATGCGGAACACATCAGATAGTGCGGGCACATTCCGAAGGATGCATGGGAATGCAGAACCCATCGGACAATGCGCAAAGAACGGGGTTTTATGCCTACAGTGGGTGAATTCCCCACACCGTGCTCTAACCTGTACCCGTGGTGTACCTGTACCTTCCAAAATGGTAATTATTTTGGTGTTTTAGTTTGTACATCAAACAACAATTCTAGAATCACAAACACTCACTAAAACAAGGTACATATACTGTCTGTTAAGGTCGTGCTCAAGGGAAAGGTAACTCAAAGGGCTTTGGCTTCAGCTCGTGTGCTGCACCCCTTACCCGAGTATGTGCCCTTAATTTCAGAGAGGCAGAGGGGAAGTCCAATGGAAGTCCGGGTAAGTCCAGAGGTCAGATGCAGGGGGAGTTCAGCAGAACTCCAGAAGGCTAGGAACAAACAGAGTAAGGCTACTGTGGACAAGTCCAGAGTAGAAGTGGAACAGAGTTAGACTACCCTAAGGTAGAGCCAGAGATATAGTCCTAAGGATTAACCCTAAGACTCGGAGGTGGACAAGAGATCAGACTCAAGTCCAGAGAAGCAGGAATGAGCAGAACTAAGATGATATTTGAACTGAGGAGTACTGGAGTATTACAGGAGTTTATATACTGTAGGTATCATATAGGTAAATCAGTCAGCAAGGTAAAAGCTATGCCCGAAGCATGTGGAAAGTTCATTAGTAAGTGTATAACAGATCAAAGCAGTGAAGTTGGAAATGAAGTACAAACAGATGGATCAGTAAGCAAAGCAGAAAGACATAACTGGTAGCTGGAGAGCGGTATTCTAAAAGGAGATAATTGTGAGTACAGAGATGAAGGCAGAGCACTGGCCGGACAATAGGACAGAGAACCAGACTTTAGTAGGGGAGATCTGGAATTCCGGGTATGGAGGTATGGGATATGACAGTCCTTGCATGTCTCCACTTGTCCCCACTTGTTTGCACCTCATTCTCACTTGTCACTGCATGTCCCTGCATGTGTCCACTTGTTCCTGCTCATTTGTGCTGTTCTCACTTGTCTTTGCTTGTTTCATGCTTGTCTCTGTGACGCCTGGCTGCACATGTTCATTTTCACCTGCTGGTGCTCATTTATACACATTTATACACATTCATTTCCCAACACTTGTCTGCCACAGTATATAGGTGTGTATTTGATGATCTTATATGTATGTTCATTACTTACAAATGTTTTCACATGTTTTCAATGCTACCATTCACACTCATTTGACATTCAACCACACATCTATGCTCATCTTGACATGTCTCAGGCTGTGCTTGTCTGTATTTGGTGTCTTCAAGTTGTGCAATAGGTTTGATTCCTCTGCACTTGTCTGCATGTTTTTACTTGTTTCTACATGCCGCCACTCACTTTTGCTTGTCTGTACTTATTTTCGCATGCTGCCGCTCATTTGTGCTATTCCTGACATACTGCCATCACATGTCAGCTGAGGAGATTAAGTGGATCGAGAAGCTCGCTGACAGGTTCAACATTGCACCCTCTCACACCTTACCTGCACCATCTCGCACTCTCACACTTGCTCACAACTTTGTGCATGTCCATGCATGTCACCACTCGTTCCCAGCAATATAGGTATATTTTTTTAACCTATGTTTGTATGTACATTACTTACTAGTATTTTCATTGTGCACCTACCGCCACTCATTTTTGGTTGTCCCATCTTCATTTGTATGTGTTACCCGCTGTAGGGAATTCTCCCACTGTAGGTGTAAAACCCCGTCCTTTCTGCATCGTCTCACATCAGTTCCACATATTCCGCATGTTCCGTATTTCCCGCGCATCGTCCAATGGGTTCCGCATTCCCACGCATCCTTCAGAACCCGCCTGCACTATCCGAAATTCCCGCACATTGTTGGACAACCTTCGCATGTCCTGTCCCCATCCTTCCAGGTCCATTGGTACACTATATCCCTCTTCCTGCTGTTCCTAACGTTATCCGGATCAAACTGACACATGCCCTTATGGCACAGACCCCTATTCCGGAGTATTGCGCCCTTGTGCACTGCCTGCCTTCACTTCCGCTTCCTGAGAACTTACTACCTGTATCTCAGTGTCCCCCGAAAATAATATTCCCTCTAAGTAGTGGTACTCAGGGCTTGGGTGTTTTTTATTGAATCCCATCTTTTACCTTCCCACTTTCCCTTCACCTTACTAGAGGACCGCTTTGACTTATGCCCACTATCAATCTAACCTTGTGATATACTTCCTTCGACTTGACCTGCAAGTTCCGACGACTCCTTACGTTCCACATTGTATCCAGTTGAGTTCCACTTCATTCAGTTCCATTCCACTCGGGTTCTGCTTGTTCCGCATTTTTGCGGATCCTCATCCTACTTGCGGTAGGGTTGATTAGGGTCGTTTAGACAGAGACTAGTACTCCCCAGTAGCAATCCCCTTAAGGGTCGAACGTGCTTGCTCTCAAGTGAGGCAGTAGGCAGCAAAGACCCAACTGTGTAGTAGATCGATTTCTCTCCGCTGCACTTGTTGTACCCACACTGCGGGTAAACCCCACATGGGTGTGGGTACAGGTCCAAACTCATCATACCTGCCAAAAGCCCATACCCATCAGCACAGGTACGGGTTTTTGCCGGGTATGGGTGTGGGTATGGGCTCTGGTACCCAGGGGTTTACCCATGCAGATCCCTAAATGTAGACAAACTTGACATTGCAGGCAGACTATATTATTGTAGACAGATCAAACATGCTGTGCAAACAACATTGTGATGGCTCAAAAAATCTACTAAATGATGATATTGATATCCTTGCTGCCCACTGCACTGTCCGAGTCATTGCAAAGTCCACCTATCATCCCCTCCTCAGCCCATTCCCTCAGCATCTCTTCAAGCTCCACACAACACTCAGGAATGACCATCAACTTGTTGATAGACTTTTGTAGTGCATTGAAGTCAGCCCTGCATGTGTCAGCAGTAAGGTCAGGCACCTTGTCAGTATCACTGTCATGGAAGCTGGAGAGAACACCCTTCGTCTGTTAAGCATTGATCAGCAATGAATATAAAAATTAATAAAACCAAAGCCTATGACTGTGGCCACCAGAATAAGGCCATTGACAGGAATTTCATGTTGAAATTCATCAGTTAGTTTGAGCACTTTTTTTACCATTGCCATAGTAAAAACTGAGGCAGGCTTCCTTGAGGACTTGTGACACAAAATTGGTATATTTTCCCTGAGAACATCAATAATGAATGTTGCACACCACAAGGTTGTCACTAGGGAACTGCACAGGTAAACCCATGGGTATGACTGCAGATATTGTCATCTCGGACCTGTACCTGCACCTGCCAGGGGTTTACCTGCGGGTACCAGGGTACTGCATACAAATAACATTTCAATCAGGTACAAAACAATTTAAAAAAAAAAAAATACTACAAATCTCTACAAACATGAACATGCATGGACAAGCACAAACATCACGCATCAATGTCAAAAGTCACTGCTACAAATGTGAACATATATGAATCAGCAAGAATGTAAAACATATGCAAACAAGTGAAATACACACCTTTAAGTTGCACAAATGTGCACAGTGAACATCAACCTATGTGAATGTAACATTTGGCAGGTGCAAACCAGTGCATGCAAACAAAAACAAGTGGCACCAAGTGCATACAAGCAAAAATGAGTGGTGGCAGATGCAGACAAGGGCAGGAAACAAATGCGGCACCAAGCGAAAATGCACAGGGGCAGGTGAAGACAAGTGCAGGCATGCAGAAACCAGTGGTGCCAAGTACATACAAGCAAAAATGAGCAGTGGTATGTGCAAACAAGCAGGGACAACCAAAAATGAGTGGTGGTGGGCACAAACAAGCAGGGACATGCAAGCAAAAGCTAGCAGTGCCAAGCACAAACAAGCAGAAGTGTAGGCAAGCCCAGACAAATGCAGATGAGTCCAAATGAGTGCAGGCAAGCCCAGACAAATGCAGACAAGTCCAAATGAGTGCAGGAAAGCCCAGGTGAATGCAGATGAGTCAAGGAGAGTGAAAATGAGTGCAGGCAAGTCTAGATGAATGAAAGCAAGCCAATATGAGTGAAGACGAGTCCAGGCAAGCCCAGACAAATGCAGACAATGCAGACAAGTGTGAGAAATTGAAAACAAGTAGTACAAAGATATAAATCAAAACATACCTGTATTAGTACAATGTCACCAGCACTGAGCCTGCTTCTCCATCAACTTGCCCAGACCCCATGCCAGTACATACAAACCTTGAACTTGAGATGGATTTAAATGAGTTAGTAATGACTTCTGGATAACAGCTATTACCAAATGTGGTAATGGTCACCCAACCCACATCACAGGTATGGGTATGGGTACAGGTACACTAACACTGGACCCATACCCGTACCTGTGCAGTTCCCTAGTTGTCACTGACCTCAGAAGAGTCAGGGAGCTGAAGATATTCACTGGTCTTCAGGAGCTTAGCTGCTGCTTCACAGACACGCTCCTTGTGCATTGAGTTGCCCTTTGAGAATATACCGTATAATTGCTTCACAATAAATATCACAATTTTTTTGAGCTCTGTATGAAAGGTGAACAGGTTATCACAGAGCTGTTGATTCATTAGCAAAGTTTGTATTTAAGCTTGGTACTTACCAGTCGCAACATCAGCATTTTATACTCTGGGAAATAACCTTCACAAGGACATCAAATTGGAGCAACTTCTGATGGTGCAGGGCAACTTACTGTTGTCAAGCTTCAGCTTCTTCGTGTGGTATGTCCATAATATGGTATCCAAAACTTCTTGTGCCAGTGATATCATGTCCTGATGAGCTGGAAGAGGATGCAATAAAACTGCCTGCAACCACTGAGATGGGATAATGTGGCTTTGTGTTGTAGTGTCCTATGATAATGTCTATGATACAGTGTTCTCCCTGAATCTGTCAACCCTCTCTGACTAAGTCTTGGAATCGACCGTGGGACACTTCTCTTTGTCCTTGTTGCCCATGAGACCCCTAGTCCATGCACCCCCCTAAAAAGAACTGGTGCCACCCTCAACACCACTTCCCCACTCTACTTAAACTCCTGTTCTCCTCTATAAATTCTTCTTCATCCTCTTCTTCATCCTCTGTTATATTCTCATCTCCTTTGCAGTTGTCTTCTTCATCTCCCCCAATTCTTGGTTCTTCTTGGTTCTCTTTTCTCGTTTCATATATCTCCTGCTTCTTTGCTAACTGGGTACCAATCCTGGGGGTGAACACTCTCAAGCGCCTTGTACTGAATTCTCCTTGTATCAATCTCCTTTCTAGTATTTCCAGTTTATATGAATTGAGGTTTCTTTATTGAATCCAATGCGGAACCAACCATTTCGGTATTAGCTTTCATTCCATTTTGAAGGTATAATCTAAATCATTGCAGTATACTTGAACTAGTTGACCGATTTTGAAAATGACCTCACCAGGCTTTTGCTGTAGAATTCTTTTGTCGAACTCCGCTTTGTGTCTAATCACATGATGGACTGTCTCTTTATAACCATCTAGCTGTTGTTGCTCCATGTACACCATCTGTGTCAACACATCTGATTGTCTCAGTGTCAAGGTGCTGTCTTCAACCCATGTTTGTGGTGTATTCGCCACAAGGCCTAGGAGTAGTTCTTTAGGGGAAAATTTCAGCGCGGGCAATAAACGGTGGTTTAAAGCACAAACCGCTTCCTCTAGATGATCTGGCCATGTTGTTGGAAGCTTATCCCAAGACACTTCTTGCTGCTCATTGTCTTCTCCTATATTTGGTGCGCCCAACCTCTTTAGCATGTGTAATGGTAGCTTATTTGTCCCTTCGACGAGGCCATTTACCCATGGGGAGCATGCTGCCACAATATGCAATTTACATTGTCATGCTTCACATAATGTCCGTACTGCGTCATTGTTGAAATGCTTTCCACCGTCCGTCATAAAGGTTTCCGATGATGTGAACACGTTGAATATACCATTTAGGCTATCCATTGTTGTCTTTGCACTGCCAGCTGTTTTATACTTGAATACCCAGGTGTGCTGTGAGAATATGTCAAGGTAGACTCCTAATGTGCTATATCCTCCCTTCCCCTTGGGAAGTGCAAGATAATCACCCACTAGTAGCTCAAATGGATGCCTCCTAGTGACTGGTTCTAACAGTGAGTGCAAATGTGTTGGACCAAAGTTTTTGCACTTAGTGCAATTTCGTATGGCCTCCATGATCGAAGCATCCAGCTTTGGGCTACAAATTTGATCCAATAGTGCCATTTTCACCGTGTCTCTTCCCCAGTGATCCCCTTCTGTGTGTGCTTTTTCTGCCAACTTTTTTGCTTCTTCCTTTGATACACACTCCACCCTAGCTCTCACTCTGGTTTCTGTGCCCCTCACACGTTTGCACCTCCGTCATCATTGCCCCACCGTACAGATCCCGCCTAGTCACGGCTAGAGAGCTCCATCTCCACACTGTTTCCTGTCTGGATACCTCTTGCAGATTCTTCCATGTCCGAGAATCTAGGAGAGCCTGGGACGCACATTTCCAAAGATACGGAAATAGCGATAGCACCGGCAGTCGTGCCGCCAGCAGATGTTCCGGACAGAGCGAGCATCCTCTCCCCAACGTCGTTGGTGTGGCATAACCCATTGGGCCCAGCACCTGTAGAATCATCCACCACCCCAACCGCAGGCCCTTCTGTACCCTTCGGCATCTCAGGGCCCGGAGAGACTACCATCACCCACAAAAGCATTTTGGATGCAATCCAAGCCGTTGTCGAACAAGAAAGAAGGTACACAAGGCAGTTCATAGACAACCTACAGAAGGAGATCAACGAACTGCAAGCAGGCCTGGTTCATGCGGACGACGAGATAGACTATCTGAAGATCAGGACAAGAGATCTGGAGAACTCCTTGACTGTGGCGGAGAGCCACATCTCGGTTTTGCAGAACTCACCTATGACGAAGATCCCAGGCGCTACATCTGGGACCTCAGGTTCTGATCTGAAGATGGCGAAACCAATGGACTTCATGGGCGAGAAGAACTCCATTGATATCGATACCTTCCTCACCCAGCTCGCCATATATTTCACCAGTTACCCAGGAGCGACAGAGCAGCAGAAATGCACCTGCCTCGTTTCCTTTTGTCGCGGAGCAGCCGCCAAATGGGCGGAAAGCATTACCCCCATGGTGCTCAGTGGTCATCCCGGGTCCTACGACAGCATCGTCAAGGACATGAGGATCATGTGGACCGTCGTTAACAAAGAGGAAAAGGCAGCAAGAGAGTTGGAAACTCTCTGACAAGGTACTTGTACAGTCGGAGAGTATATCTCCCTCTTCCGTCAGAAGCTCACCTTCTGTCATTTCTCTGACTATGAATTAATGCGCAAACTCCACCATGGTTTAGACCAACGGGTCAAAAACTATCTGGCTAACATCCATCCCAACAGGAAAGACACCCTGGAGGGATTGATCAGGGAGGCGCTCCTAGTCGGGCAGAACCTCGAGGAGCTTGACGACGAGAGGAAGATGAGCTTCGCTCAGCGACAACCTTGGTGAGGCTCCGCTGTTCCACCTGCACCAGCTGGAGCACCCAAGACCACATCACAGGGAGGAAACGCAATGGACGTTGACGCAACAAGAGCAGGAGGCAGACCCCGCACGCAGGGGCAGCCATTCAAATGCTATCGCTGCAGAGAAGAAGGGCATATGGCCCGTAACTGCACAGGGAAGCCGCTTGACCCAAGGGGCAAAGGACCAGCTGTCCGCGCTGGCAAAGTAGAAGAAGTTCCAGCGGTGAAAGCACTCACCCTGGAAGATATTAACCGCATCGTCAATGAGAGGATTTGCCTCTCCAGTATGTACAACCCAGCAAAGAAAGAGGAGCAGAAGGGTTTTTAGGGAGATCGAAGTCGACTGCAGACTTAGATCAAAGAAATCGTTTTTCCATTCTCGGTGACTCGGCAATTATGTTTGCAGAAGTATCAGAAGTTTGTTCTGGGAATAAATGAGACCATTTCTACTTGCCAGTTACGTGGGAAGGGAAACACAAGAAAGCAGCTGTCAATGCTCTAGTGGATTGTGGAGCAACAAACCTTTTCCTCAGCAAAAAATTCGTAGAAAAAAATCAAGTTCAGATTAAGCAGTTGTTGCGACCAATGTCGATCCGTAACATTGACAAAACGGACAATTCCGCTGGACCAATTACGCATTATGCAGACTTGAAGCTCACCATAGGGGATCATAAGGAAGAAGTAGCCTTTCTGGTCACAGACCTAGGATCCGATGATGTCATCATTGGGATAGATTGGCTATGATTCCACAACCCCAGTATCGATTGGAATGCAGGGAAGGTGGCATTAGACCGTTGCCCGGTTAAATGTCAAGAAGCCAAGGTCAAGGACAAGAAGACCAAGGCGAAGAAGCGAACAGCCATGAACTGTTCGATCCTTCCGGCATTGCCCGATTTGTTACCGGCAGAAGATGACGAAGATGAGGATATTGAGGAAGCCTCTATCCATCATCGGGTTCAGTCGAACAGCTTCAGCTCTAAAATGCAAGGACATGTGGGTACTATACCTGCCAGGCTTGAGGATGAAGAACAATCGGACCTTGCTACTACTGTTGGTCAGAAGGTGCAGATCAAGGAAGTCGAGGATGAGGATTCATCACGGAATGTGTGGATCAGGTACAAGATTTCGGTGGCGTCAGAGTTAGCGCAGCAGGAGGAGAAGAAGAAGGAAAAGAAGCCTGTAGAAGAAATGGTGCCGGACTGGCTCCATGATTATCTTAAGGTCTTCTCTGAAGAAGAGTCTACTCGATTCCCCGAGTCTAAGAAGTGGGATCATAAAGTAGATCTCAAGGATCCTACTGACCTTCCCCCCAATGCGAAAGCATATCCCCTGTCCCCCGCCGAAAATGACACATGTGAGAAGTGGTTGAAGCAGGAATATGATTTGGGACGACTGAGAGATAGCGAATCTCCAGTAGCAGCTCCTTTCTTCTTTGTTGCTAAGAAGGACGGAAAGCTCAGACCCGTCATGGACTATCGGAGGTTGAATGAGAAAACCATCCGAAATGCATACCCTCTCCCTCGCTCTCAGGACCTTATCGATTGCCTCTCCGGTGCAAAGCTTTTTTCGAAAATGGACGTTCGATGGGGCTATAATAATATCAGAATGAGAGAAGGAGACCAGTGGAAGGCCGCCTTCAAAACTCCTTTCGGACATCACGAACCAGTCGTAATGTACTTCGGCATGACGAACTCCCCAGCTACCTTCCAAACTATGATGGACCAAATCTTCCAAGATCTAAAGGAAGGCAAGGTTGTTGTAGTCTACATCGACGACATCTTGGTCTTCACCAATGGTGATGTAGAGAAACATCGGAAGGTGGTGTGCGAGGTATTGCAAAGGTTGCAGGGCAATGACCTCTATCTCAAACCGGAGAAGTGTTCTTTTGAGAAGAAGGAAGTGGAGTTTCTCGGTTTGATCGTCAAGGATGGACACGTCTCTATGGATCCGGTCAAGGTTAAAGGGGTTCAGGAATGGCCCACTCCTACCTGTGTCAAGGATATTCAACGATTCATGGGATTTGCAAACTTTTATCGTCGATTCATTCTCGGTTTCTCGAACATTGCCAGACCCATGAATGAACTCATTAGAAAGGATGTACCATGGGAATGGACGGACAAGCAAGAGAAAGCTTTCAAAACCCTGAAGGACAGTTTCACTTCCGCACCAGTGCTAGTCATGCCAGATGCGAATAAAAAACAAAAGATCGAGAGCGACGCATTGGACTACGCTACTGGTGGTGTACTTTC